TCCATAGTGTCGGGTACTGAAAGCAACAAATATCAACTCCCTCACTCCCTACCTTCCTGTGAAGAACTGTGCAGGTTGGTCAGGTGAATTTAAGAACATAGGAGCTATTCCAGAGGACTTGGCTAGTGCCAACTCTTGCTATAATGTCTCCACTCCATTTAGCCTCCGTAAAGGACTAAAACATTTACTCAAATACTAAACTACATGAACCAACCTGCCACAAGACAGTTCTTGTTGAGGAATATTTAATTAGGATCATTCAAGAAGTCTACTTGAAGAGAGAAAAAAAAGCCAATTCAAGAATAAGTGTTCATATCACGAAGAAAGTTAAATAAGATCCTTTGTTTCCCTTCAATGTTATATTGTTTCGAGTTCTCTGAATTTTAGCCATTAGCTCAGTTGTTGACCTTGGGCAAGTTGCTTTGCTTTCCAGGCCTCGGCTTTGTTACCTATAAATGAGGCAACAGACGCGTGGCTTCCGCATAAAGAATTCTCTCGAAGTTGTTTCCCTCTCTGAGATTATTAGCAGGCTCTTTCCTACACATGGGATGCCATAACAGAGGAAACAGTTATTTATTAAAATACCAAGTAGGTTTGCAGGGTCACAAATATTGGTGACATATAAGGCAACTTTAACTTAAATACTTTTTTACCAAGGGATAATTTAGGATGACTAGACCAAAGCAAATCACTTTTCATCTATGAAAAATATCACTCAGGGATGAGAACAGGCCAATTTCAAGGAGCTACTAAAACAAAACAAACAAACAAACAAACAAAAAACCCACACAGATGAGCTTACATATAAGATGGAATTTGAAAAGGCAGTAGTTTAATTTTCCACCCTAGGATGGATTGGTGTTATTGGTTCCAATACTGCCAGATCAATATACCCCTTGTGCTTAGCTGTGCCAATGATTGATTTGATCTGACTGGCCCGAAAAGTGATCCTCTTGTTTCACTCACTAGAGGATGTCTGATCTCTTATGACCTCTTCCTCTGAGTGAGGTCAGCAGAACAGAACACGCATGGGGCATCCTTGCTGAACACCCCAGACAGTGGCCTACAAGTGGCCCAGGAAAAGCAATTGTATTAATGCATTCAAGTAATTTATTGGCGGTTTTGTGTGATAGCATATTTACTGAAACGAGGCCTGTCATAAAGATTAGGTTGGAGCAGGAACACATGATTTCCCGACCAGCCAGATAAGATAAATCAAGTGCCTCTTCTGTCCCCTGCAGCCACCTCCACCCACTCCGTGTCCTCCGTGCTCAGACAAATTGAAGCGCATGCCACAATTTGCAGAGGGAAAATCAAACTCAATTTCGCAGGACAATGAAGTGAGTTTTGGTCTTGTCATGTCCACTGACATATTGATCCTTAGAAGATTGAAAAGATGAGAATGTTCTAGGGTCTGGCTTTTACAAATAAAAATGGATAGAAATGCAATGTGTACATGAAGGACAATAGAGCATGTATGCAGCTTTGCAAAGATGCAAGAACTCGGGGGCTCATGTTGCAAAACGGCGCACGGTGTAAAAGTCCCTCTCGAAAGGGTCAGGTTTTATGTCCCTTTAGAATTACAGCCCGGAAGACAAATGGTCCCCTAATCCAGGTTCATTTAAAGTGCAGCGGATCATTTCAGCGCTAGAAGGAATTTTCACTGGTGAAGAAAAAAGCCCCACCTTTCCTTGGCCTTATGTCGAATATGTGTCAGATCTACAGTGCCCTCAGCCCAGCGCTCCATCAAACATTTTCCATTTAGCCTGAAAGGGACGGAGCCAAATCCCTTACATGTCCACCCTGTGATCTGCAAAGTGCTGTGACTGCACCCTCCCTGAGTTGCATGAAGAGCGCACGGTTATTCACGTCTGTGGAGGAAGCTTTAAGAAAGGGAACCGCGCCCGCGCCGGTTTGGTTACATGGATGGAGCGTTGACCTGCAGACCGGAGTCCCAGGTTCGATTTGGGTCAAGGGTTGCGGGCTCGATCCCCACTAGGGGGCGTGCAGGAGGCAGCCGATCAATGATTCCCCCTTATCATTGATGTTTCTATTCTTTCTCCATCTCCCTTCCTCTCTGCAATATATATTTTAAAAAGAAACAGAACCGCTTTATTATGAGGTGATGATGAAATTGTAAGAAACACAATGAAACACCCCAGAGTCTAGTGAGCGAAATTTCCAAATCAGCAGGTGAAAGGAAAACAAACAAACAAACGAATAAAGCCAAGGGGATGGATCTGTGTTCCCCGGGCAGGCAGGCTTCAGACACTATGAAAACAGGGTGGCTTCCTAACTCCCACGTGCTGTGGAAACCCCGCACAGTCCCCTGCCACTCCGTGGACACCATTACTGCGCAATGGGTGCTGCCCTGCGCCTCATATGTAAGTGCTGCAAACAGCTGCGTGTCTTAGTGGAAGGCAACCAGGTCAATGACCCCCGTGAAAACCCACGCGTGGGAAGGGCAGGGGGAAGGAGCATCTTCATCGATCCTCATTTTCAGGTTTCAAAGCAGAAAGAGCTTCTCATCAGGCAGGATCTTTAAAACATTATAGCACCGCCTCCCACGGCTCCACTCGAGAGGAATTACTTGCGTTAAGTAAAGATAAATTCATTAGTAATTACGCGGCCTTTTATTGTGAAACGCAGAGAAAATTTCTTTGAGATGTATTTTTTTTTCAGCCGACAAGAGAATGACCTCACTTCATCAATCAGTTTGACTAAAGTAATGATTTTCTTTGAATTAAAATTGGTTGAAAGCTCTAAGTATTTCATTTTTTAGGCTGAGACACATGTAGTTAATGTCACAGCTAATACATTTGTCAGTCAGCTAATTTTCTTTTTCTATTAGAATAAGTAAACATCAGCGCTTTCTTAAAAGCACACTATTTACCATGTGTCAGGAGCAATGCAGGGAGAACTTATTTGAAAATCACGAGGTAGGACATTATGAAATGAACTGGAATCGCAGGCAGACAATGCAGGGGAAGCGTGAAAGGAAAAGGCATTTAACGATTCCAAAGTGCTGGCGGGTGTGCCTAGAGGTGAGTGGGGGAGGGGGCGCTTAGAGGGAAAAGATGAAAAGTATAAAATCAAGCCCAAAACGCAGGACACGGATACTGGAAAATATGAAAGAAGCTATGGCTTTTACCAAAATTCAAATAAAAACAAGAATGAGAGTGAAACAAAAGAGAGCTCATAAATGTACGATGAGGATAAAAAGAAAATGAGATCTTGCCCACATGACGTAAGATCAGAGAATGGTTCTTCTTAGATGCTGGTTATTTGAGAGAATAGGTGCAGAGATTGAAGAACAAACTCTATTTCAAAGCTCTTAAAGACATAATATACCCGCTTGTGCTACAGGGTGTCAGATTTTGTTTACGGCAGCTGTAGTATTTTCCTAACTAGAAGAAAACAATAACTAGTCAGTAACAATGGCGTTACTTTGTCCTGTCTACTGGCAGGTGCGCTTTCTAAAATTAGAGTTCTTTGGGGTCATTTGTTATCATAGATCTCTGGAGCATGAGGTGATGTCCAAACTGTGCGTTCCAAACCAAACATTACCACCGCCGGAAAATGTTCATGTAAAATGGACTTCAGAGTATCATTTTCAGCTTTTTTTCTCTCTATATAACATAGTTACTAAAAACCCCCTCTTTACTTGCAAGTAGAGAGAATAGTTAACAGTACAAAGCGCTATAGCACTTTAGTTTTTGCAATAAAATTATGTTCTTCAGCATAGGGTAGTTAAATCTCTTACGTTTCCTTTTAAAATGTGAGTGAAGAAGCCAAAAATAGTAATAATCCTGTGATAAGTTTGTATGGTGACAGATGATTACTAGAATTAGCGGGATGATCACATTAGGAAGTGTAAAAATGTCAAATCATGTACTATATTGTACACCTGGAACTAATCTGTGTACCAACTATGCTTTCAAAAAGGCTTGTGAAGAAATGGTATTCCTTAACTCAGGATTATTTCAGATGTTTCCAATTTCCTTTTTATCAGTTTTGGAATAATTTGATCTGGTAGATTTTTAAGTTTCTCTCTCTTTTTTTAAATGAACACAAACTGAAAGCTACAAATGAGTTCCTAACATTTCAGAACCCGTGCTTTCTGCAAAGAGTAGGAAAGGGTGCATCAACACTCCCTGGCTGAGGAGCCTTAAACATGCTACTTCCATGCCCCGTGTCCCAGCTTCCATATCCGTGAGGTGGGGCTAAGAAAGTAGCTACTCACGAAATTGTTTTGAGGATCTAATGCAGCGGTTCTCAACCTGTGGGTCGCGATCCCTTTGGGGGTCGAACGACCCTTTCACAGGGGTCGCCTAAGACCATCGGAAAACACATATATAATTACATATTGTTTTCGTGATTAATCACTATGCTTTAATTATGTTCAATTTGTAACGATGAAATTGGCGGTCACCACAACATGAGGAACTGAATTAAAGGGTCGCGGCATTAGGAAGGCTGAGAACCACTGCCCTACAGCGAGGAAGTTGGATTCCACACAGGTTCTGTCACTCTTTCTGGCCCTGGAAGTCTGCAGTAAGAATCCCCAAAGATGACTATTAAAAGGCACAGAGCAGAACTATGAGAGCAGGCGCTGCGCCCTGAAAGGCGGTCTGCAGACTCTCCTGCCTCTAACGCCAGCTTTGGAGTCTAGCCTTACATGCTGGGACCCGTGTAGCAAACGCGAGAATCAGGAACTTTCCCAACATTCCCTAGTGGGCAGACCCACAGCCTGTCTTAAAAGTACTCACCGGGCCTTCAGGATTAGTGACCAACTTTCCACAGGAAGGAAGGGCACCGACAAGCCCGCTACTTGGAAGCCAGCTATGTAGGAGCTGCACCACACACATCAGCACCAGGGCATGGGCACGCGATCACTGTTGGAAACATACGCTGCCTCCGGCCTTCTCAGGAACCCCCATGGACATAGGTAGCGGCACCAAAGAGAACACTGTTTGCAACGTGACAAGCGGGCACTGTACCTGGCTGCGACAGGAGCGGCGTGTACGGGACCTTCGGTTCGATTGCGCTCATTGGCGGAGGTAGCAAGGGGCTGGCAAAGCTGCGGAACGGGTGCGTGGGTCGGACACAGGCGGTGGGGATGGTCCTGCTGGGGGCCTCCTCGCTGCTGGGGTGCTCAGGCTGCGCGGGGGGCAACAGGGGTGGAGGCTGGGTGGCTGGTCCTTCGGTCACTGCTGCAACGGAGAAGTGACAACCCAGTCATCATTCCAGGACGAAGCTTGCTTCCCCGATCCGTGGTCGGCAAGCTCGTTAGCCCACAGAGCCAAATATCAACAGAACAACGATTGAAATTTCTTTTGAGAGCCATTTTTTTTTAACTTAAACTAGATAGGTAGGTACATTGTTTTTAACTTAATTAGGGTACTCCTAAGGCTTAGGAAGAGCCACACTCAAGGGGCCAAAGAGCCGCATGTGGCTCAAGGGCCGCAGTTTGCGGACCACGGATCAAGCGGCCCCAGGTCATCTGAAAGCCCCTGGATCAATGCAGAATGATCTGCGAAGATCTGGCCAACCTCTTCTTCATGTATGAGCATCCCCATTCTTCTTGGTATATTCATGGGATGTGATAGCACGGCCCCTTTAAACAGCAGAAATAGATCCAGCGAAACCGGCCTCTATTTTTCAGGAATAGTAGTAAAATATGTACGGCACACACTACATTGCCTGAACTGTCTGGGCGCTGTAATCATAAGTGATGAAGCGAGAAAAAAGAGTTGTTTCTCTCTTCATAAGTGGCAATGTCAGTGAAATTCAATGTACCAAACCCAGCTACAGCTGCATTATTATCCAGCAGCCAATATGCCAATTCTTCTGTGATTCACACATGCTATGCCAACTATCAGACACATCAGTTACCACGTGTTAAAGGCGTTGCTAATAAAATGACACAAATAATACCCCTAGCATTCTCTTCCATAACAAAATAGAAGTACATCCAACTAAGAGGTTACACGAGGGACGACTCTGCGGGAACAGGCTGAATGCAGAATGATAATTTTTTCTCTTTTGTAGCAAACCTCATAATTGGCCGTTAGATTACTATAGTTGAAGAGGTTTCGCATAGTCATCTGTGACAGCCTGTGGGTATTTGGACAGTTTTGCATGAGGAAACACACCTTTCCCCCCAGAGAACACAGTTGAATGGACTTAAACATTGGCCAGGCAGTTCCCCGTGCTAAGGACACTATGACTTGCCTTTATTCATTCAAAGGCAAAGCCAGTAGGTCTAAGTGAAACCGCACAGGAAAAGAGCTGAGTAGTAAGTAGAAGTGTTGATAAAGTAAGAGTATTTCTGATTATTTATTTCTTAAGAAAGTTCTATTGGGTGAGTTGAAAAAAAATGCAGTAATCGAAGATAATATCTCACTTCTGAAAAATAAATTTTAACCAGGAACTATTTCAAGATAATTATTGCGTGAGATAATTTTGAGGCAACTCTCTGGGAGACTAGGTGAGGTCAGCCAAGGGCAGAAGAGATAGAAAGAAAATCTGATAATGCTGAAGGGAGTAGAGATTAAGATAGCAAAGAACAAGACACACTATTAAAGACATGCAAAAATGAAATGTGCCTTCGGAGGGGATATGATATTAAAACTCATTTTTCTATATTCAGAAAGGGTTGGAGGTCCTCTGGGTCACTGAGAAGCCTCAGGCTCACCCCATGCAAAGATGAGGATGAGGAGATAAAGGGCTGCCTGAGGACAGGATGTAGCAACATTCAGCCAGAGCCAAAAACAGAGAAACACTCGAAAACAACAATAACAAAAAACAGTTCTTCAAAGAAGAAAAATGCAGCCAAGAGAGCAGAGTAGATAGGACTCTGGGGGCAAGAGGAGTTTGAACTGAAGGGCCTCATCCCTAGGCCAGGAAGAATAGGACTCTGGGGTTGAACTGAAGGGCCTCATCCCTAGGCCAGGAAGCCCTGTTAAAAGTGGAGAGAGGGGTACATGTGTGCAAAATGGCAAGAGCTGCAAGGAAACATTAAAGCACATTCTTGTTGGTTCTCAGGTAAGAGCAGAAGGGATGGGTCTTCAGGTAGGTATTATAGGAGCTACATTCTACATGCTTGTTAGAATGTAAAGGGGAGAGGAACATGTGTGCTTGTGTTCAGTCAAGATTGTGTAATCTGTTGGATGGAAATACAGTTTTAGAGATAAAGACAATTATAAAGGTTTTAGTCTGGACTATTATTCAGTTTAAAGGAGAAAATTACCAATGTTCTATTGTCCAAGTTAAAAAAAAATGTCTCCACTGTAGGTCAGAGAGAAGCAGTGGCAGGGACCTATATGTAGACCCCTCCTCTTCATTATCAATGTTTTTTTTTTTTAAAAATATATATACATATTTTGATTTCAGAGAGGAAAAAGGAAGAGAGGGAGAGAAACATCAATGATGAGAAGGAATCATTGATCGGCTGCCTCTTGCACGCCCCCTACTGGGGACTGAGCCCACAATTCGGGCATGTGCCCTTGACCAGGATCGAACTAGGGCCCTTCAGTCTGTAGGCCAATGCTCTATCCACTGATCCAAAATGTCTACAGCTATATTTTTTAAAAGGTAAAAAATATGGAAAGAAAGTTGCAATTTCCCTCAGAAACCTGCCTTAAGTAATTCCCTCGATCAAAGAAGGATTGCAATTAATTCATACCATATTTTTAAAATGGCTTTAGCCATTAAAAATATATTTCATGAGTTTTTCTTTTCTTTATTCCTTCCATCATATTTTCCTCATCTCTCCTACATTTTTGAAATGAAAGAGATCTATGTTAAAATATTATTGCGGTCATAGCTTTAATAAAATTTAAATGCACATTTTTAGTCTGAAATTTAGTTTTTTAAAAACTGCAAGCTTCACATTAATTCTGATGATGTCACTGAATTTTGGGGGCTGCTCCCATTCTCCTTCTCTTTAATGGCATTCTCATCAGCATCCGATACATAAAGATTCTCTGTGCCCAGTCCTCCATGCTCAGGTGTTTGCCTGGCCACCATTTCCCATCGGAGCCACAGAATGTGGCTCTTGACTTTGAGGGAAGGAATGGACAGGATGTAGCAACACAGCAACCAGAGGGACCTGCTCTTTAGTGAAATCAATCCTTACCACCACACATAGGGAAGAGGAACATGCCTAATCTGATCTGCTGGGTGGGGAATGGAAGGGCCCATCCTTCTGACTAAATGCATCAGTGATTCATAAGGGACTGTTTTTGTTTTATTCAGTATGACAATTTTGCTTAATACCTAATACAATGGACAAGGTACAGGATTCCATAGACAAATCACAACTTTCATATTTTTATATGGACCAAAAGGAATGCTGTTCAGACATGGCTGACAGGTAAGGCAGGGAGAACTCTTAAACAAACACAGTATCATCTGCTCCACTGGAGGGAGGCCCTCATTTTCGATGAGCCCCTTCGGCCAGTCCAGGCACCAGCTCCAGGGCGCCTATGTGAAGCAGATTGGCTCATGACAGGACGTCAGCTGTGCTAAGAGCTCTGAAAGCAAAGAAAACCTCCATTCGCCCACAAAGTGCAGCCTCCCTGTCATTCAGAGAGTAAAGCAAGAATCAAACATGCCCCAGCAAGGCACTTGTTTGCAAAGGAAGAAATGTTAGAAATACATTGTACAAATAGCACACAATTACACAACGGAGTCAAATCTCAGGGCACTTTATAAAAATTTATGTCAACACATAAATCACTGCAACAGAATAACTGGCAAATATATTGCAAAAATTCAAATGAGGATTTTTCTTCTGTCTGAAATAGCAACATTTGAAAGAAATAACGCATACCTACGACTCTAGGCAAAGACACTTTGAGACATAAACACCTTTAGGAATGTGCTTCCCTCATCAATCTCAGAAGAATAGTATCAGGCAATATTTCTGAGTAACCCCAGCTCCTCACAGCCTAGATTTTTTATAAGAACCTAGAGAAAAATCTATGAACTCCCTTGCACTCCTGGTATTACCTAGATCAAGCCCCATTGTAAGTTAACTTCCAATTTGGGGTAGAGCTGGAGCAGAAAAAAAACATGGCAAAAGTTGACCAGCCTTCTAAGACAATGCTCCACTTGAAAGGAACAATGGACATCACCTGACTTTCTTTACTCCTGCTTCAAAGATGAAGAAGTGGGGGTACCAATTTTGTCATGACTTGGCCCCAGGACTATCTATTGGTTGAAGTTTTTTAAAGACCACTGCTCCATATTTTCCACGGACAACTCATTTGCCTATTGAGGCTAAGGTCAAACCTGCAGTGTATTGGTAGGAAAAGAAAATATCTGTCTATCAAAACTGCATAAATTCTGTCGATAGATCACCAAATGTGTGTAATGCGAATACATTATATATTTTTCCTCCCTTACAGTAGGAGAGGCATGCGGCTGTATTTGTGACTTCAGAAAGCAGTGTGTCTCTGGGGGCCGGGTTTCAGTGATTTATTTCTTATAAAACTCAAAGGTCTTTCGGGTAACTTTGGAGGAAGAGGAGCCTGCACTTGCACACATTTTTCTTTTCCTACGTGTGCCTTTCACTCTTCCTCAAGGTGACTAATAAGACATCTCTAGCTGGAGTCATGAAGTGTTTTCTGCTTGAGAGAGAACAGGGATGTTTAGAGTTCTCCAAGGCATTTAGAAACCAATACTGAATGGCTGGGAGTTAACTGTTTCTGACAGTGATTCAGAGAATATTTAGTTTCCTAGAAAAGAGGGTACTTATTTTTTTCTAAGCAATCACTTGGAAACACACATTTGTTCCCATTCCTTTGGCACTGCACATAGCTCTGCTCAAAAGTCCTTGACGAATGACTGAAGACATATTTTTAAAAACCATGACATCTAGGAATAGAAGAATGTCTATGCGTTTTGATTTTAGATGAGGTTCAAAAGCACTCTGTCAAGAATCCTTTATTTATATAACTTCATGTAATTGTTATATATTTTATTATATATTACTTAAAAGTTATATAACTACCTTTTCAATTATATCTACTTTTAAACAAATTAACAAAATAAAATCTACACAGGGACCAAAGTTTTTTTTTTCCTTCCTTTTTTTGTTCCTTCCTTTCTTTCCTTACTCATTTCTCCCTTTCTTAATAAAGCTTATTTTTTAGAGCAGTTTTAGATTCACAGCAGAATTGAATGGCAGACACAGAGGTATCTCTGCTTCCACATATGCGCAGCTTCCCACACTATCTGAGTCCTGCCCCAGAGTGGCTCATGAGACTCTAACCACCGACAAAAACAAATTGTGTACTAGTTCTTTTATTGCTTTCTTTTTCATTAAACTTTCACTTTTGGAGTCATTTTCCCCGAGATTCAATGAGACAGTTTTGCATGTTGTACCAAATCAAGAGAGAAGGAAAAGAAGAAATGGGTTACTGGATTTTCCAAAGGAGACTATGCCGTTAACTAAGGAAAAGACATTACAGGAATATACTATGAATAAATAAAAGTTAACTTTTAATTTTTAAAAAAGTAGTAAACTTTGGCTTATACCCGTCTTGCTGAGTGAACAGATAAAGGTCATTCTATACTTCCTTCCTACACATCCTTCCTATACATCCTTCCTATACATCCTTCCTATACCTCCTTCCTATACATCCTTCCTACACATCCTTCCTAAAGTTAGAGAACATAAATGAAATCAAAAGGAAGTAGTAGGAAATGATCCAAAGAGAAAACTAAACTAAAACTAACTCTCTTTTCTGCTGGGGAGAGGACATTTTAAAAGTTGAAAAGGGGACTTGTGGTTCTGAATTCTTTGACTGAAATTACCTTCCTAATTGTCCTGGGTTTTAGAAATTTTTAGTTATGGGACTTCCCACATTTTTCTCATTTAATTCCCTCCAGCATGGTTTGAGGGACTATTTTCTCTCAAGTTTTCTGCACACAACTCTATTCTGTAGATATGATGTGCAGTGAGAAAAGGGAAAATAAACCCAATTCTCTCTTGGCAGATTTTTGATGCCTTTTAATTCTAACCTTCCTGCATCTAACAATTTATGATTTGTCAGAGATATAGCTTACTTCACAAATACATTTTATTGCTGTTACCATCTTCTCTATTACAAAACATCCTATTTCACATGAGCTGCTGAGTCACCTGTTCTTAACTAAGAGAAGAAAGCCATAAAATCGATTTTAAAATGTGCTTGAAGGGAAAAAAGTCAAATGATACAGGAAAAATCATCAGGGTATATATAATAGCTTGAGAGTCTCTCCATTCCCACCTTTCTTCAAACAAATGAAATACTACTACCAGGATACAAAATCAATAGCCCCAAATTAATTGCATTTCCATACATCCACACAAATTCTCCGAAAAAATTAAGAATATAATCTCATTCAAGGTAGCATCAAAATAAATGTTTAGGAACAAATTTAGTTAAAAAGGGAAATATCTATACATTGAAAACTATAAGACATTGATAGAAGATATTGAAGAAGATACAAGCAAATGGAAAGCTAATCTGTGCTCATCAACTAAAAGAATTAATATTGTTTAAATGTCCATACTAGCCAAAGTGATCTACAGATTCAATGATATTTTTCACAGAAATAAAAAAAATTCCTAAAAACGATAGACCCAAACAGCCAAATAAACCTTTGGAAAGAAGAACAAAACTGGAGACATCACACTTCCTGATTCTACAAAACTACCAATTGTTAAAAGACAAAACAAACAACAAAACTCAAAAGCAAAAATAATCCATTCAATAATATTTAAAAAGTGGACAGAGGCACTGAATGGACATTTTTCCAAAGAAGACACACAAACGGGCAACCGGTACAGGACAAGGTGCTTGGCATCACTAATCATCAGGGAGGGTGACCGACATAGTATGGTATGGGCATAAAATATAAATCAATGGTATAGAATAGGAAGTTCAGAAATAAGCCCATGCATATATGGGCAATTCATTTGTGACAAAGGAGCCAAGAATATACAGGGTGGGACAAAATTAGGTTTAGAGTTGTTCATATGAAAAATAATACAATAATTACTAAATAATACAAAATAAACTGTATTTTGTATATTCACACTTGTAAACCTACTTTTGCTTCCAACCTGTACAATATAAAAAGAATACTCTCTCTAATACATGGTGCTGAGGAAACGAAATTGTCACACACAAAAATAAAACCAGACCCCTGTCTTACACCAAACACAAAAACAACTCATAAAGGATTAAGGCCTTAAATTTAAGACCTGAAGCTATAAAACTCCTAAAAGAATCTATAAGGGTAAGCTCCTTGATCTTGGTCTTAGCAATGGTTATTTAGATTTGACGCTAAATATAAAAGCATCAAAAACAACAATAAGCAAATGAGGAACCACACCAAATTTCAAAGCTCCAATACAGCAAAGGAAACCATGAACAAAATGAAAAGGCAATGTAAGGGGGTAGAAAACATTTGGAAACCATTTATCTGATAAGGGGTGAATATTCAAAATATATTTAAGAACTCATAAAAACTTGTATGCATGCATATTAGCATAACCAAATTAAGAGGCATGTGTCAATGCCGTCCTGTCGGAACAGACTCAGCATCTGCCTTCCACATTTGGTTATGGTCGACGCTCATCCGAAAGACAAAAGATGACACATGTTGGTGATGGGACACTGCTGGTGGGAATGTAAACTGGTGTAGATACTATGGAAAACAGTATGGAGTTTCCTAAAAAATTAAAAATAGAACTACCAGTGGACCCAGCAATCCCACCTCTGGAAATACTTTATCCAATGGAAACAAATATCTATCTCATAGAGATAGCTGCACTCCCATGTTCATCATAGCATCATTCACAATTGCCAAGATATAAAATCAAGCTAAGTGTCCATCAATAGATGAATGAATAAAGAAGATGTGGTACTATATGTACAATGAATTTTTATTCAGCCTTGAGAAAGAAGGATGCTCTGCCCTTTGTGACACCATAGATGACCATGAGGACATTGTGCTAAGTAAAATTCCAAGCACCCATCAAAGCATCTCTTTCCTGAAACATTGAATCTTTGCTTCCTACCACTCCTTATATTGTCAGTTAAGTGTACTGTGGAAAGAGATCCTAGAGAATCAGTCCAAAAGCACAAAGTAGGATCCAAAGGATTGGAAAAAAGTTCTCCTACCCAGGTCATGGGTAAGTCAATCTTTCTAAGAGATAAGAACATCAAAGTGCTAGACCTTTGACAAGATACCCCATGGTATTATTCATTGGTTCCCAATGAAAAACAAAAACAAAATCAAGAGGAAATACATTATACTGACTTTTTCCTGTTCCGAAACCTCGGTCCACTGACAGCGTTGGGAATGGCACAGGCCGGAGTGTGAACTGTGGGTGGGGGTATCCACACGTGGGCGATGGAAGGATTCCTGGGTACTGGGCACTTTCTAGGGTTGGCACAGGAATGGCACTCACGACAGCTGCAACACAAAGGTATTAATTTTTTAATCCTAGGTATTCACATGACTGGCCATGGAAGTGGCTATATTTTCACATCATTAAATCCATGCATGCTCTTCACAGTATCGTGTAGTTTCTTTACTTACCTCTTTCCATGAACTCCTTCGCTAGTAATTTTAGAAAAGACAACCCACTCCTCCAGCATCTGACTGCTAAGAAGCATTATCCTGAAGTTTAAAACTTCCCAGGCTTTCAAACTAAGGCACGATTAATCAAGCCACCATAGGACCACCTTAAGGCTCCCTGGGTTTTGTTTAACTTTCTTTTCTTATTTTTTCTCCTAAGCCAGAACAATGGCATTAAAAATGGTGGGTTGTTCGGAAACTGAATCTATTGTATAGAGTGGGCTGAAGCAATGAGAATTTTCTGTTAATTCTGCGAAAGAATTTAACGCTTTTGAGAGCGAGTCTGGAAACTAAGGCTCTAAGAGTCAGAACCCCAAACCTGTGCTGGGTCTATTCACTGCACTGTTGCCTCATGTTGTCACCTCAAGCTCTGAATTGCTCTGGGACTATAAAAACAAACCTTCTCTTTTTCCTCGAGTCTTACTCTACGTGAACGGTGGCCCTAACATGACTAGTAATTTATTTATTTTTGTTATCTTAAAAATTATAATATAATGCGTGTATATGATTTTAAACATATATATCTTTGAAGTTACTTTGTCACATAAATTCTGTGTTATCTCCAAGCTCTGTGTTGGCAAAGCTTTATTCAACAAAAGGAAATGACTTCAACATATAATCAAAGTTGATTTTAACGTAAACATTTAAGCTTCTTGGTAAATAAAATAGGCCTTTTGCAACTGATGTGATTGATAAGGCCCTAAATAACTGTGCTGATCAAACTGTAAATGTGCAACTTGCCAGGGTTGTGATTTCATGCAGTCATGTGGCAGATATTTAGCAAGCACTACTTCTGCGCTAGGTATTGAGCCATACAGTGTGTAAATATGAAGATGAATTAGGTAATTTGTTCCTTCTCATGTACTTCACAACCTGTTAGAGGAGGGATGATTTGGACTTGATTACCTAAGAAGATGGGGCAGAGCTTGTATACCATAATTAATGCCACAAAAGTAGTATAAAAGTGCCATTCAAATATGAGAAATGATCATTTCTGAACGAGGTAATCAGAAAAGAGAGAATAGAATCTATGAGATCTGGAATCAGTATCTGCTCTCATCTTTGAAAGATGCACAGAACTTCGTTAAGTAGCATTAGGCATTGGGTCATTCCAAAAGGAAAAACGTGTTCAGAAGGAAAAGCAAATAAAAGGCAATGGGTATTAGTGGACTGGTAATTAGTCTAGCTCAGTAAGAGACTAGGGTATGCATAACAGAGAAGGGCAGAGCCACAGGAACCTAGGAATGTAGACTCAAACCTGATATGCTGAGGAGTTTGTACTTGTTTATCTTGGTAGACACTGGGGAGCCATTGGGGAGATGTATGGAATGGAACGGAATGTTTAAGTCATTTTAGGAAGAAATCTGGTAAGAGGGATGCAAAAGAGTCTGGAAGACACACTAGAGAAGTGGAGGAATTATCATATTTTGGACAGTTCAGGTGTGAGGCCATAATGAATACAATAAAAATATGACACTTGGGAATGGGAAGGTAGCCAGGGATTCAAAAGCTATTGTGGAAGGAAAGTGAATGGGAATAGGAACTTACTGGATGCGACAGTTATATGTGGGACAGAAAGGTGCACAAAGATTCTGGAACACAATGATTTTTGAAAAGAAAGCTAAGTTAGATTGGCACCGACAGAACTCAGTGACAAGAGGGAAGTGACTGGAGGGAGAAAAAATAGGGGCAGCTACACGTACACAGTCTCTCTTTGTAGTGAAATGAATGGGGAAAAAAGAACAATGGCTTCACAGAATATGACAGCTGGGAGCATAATGATTAGAGTGTAGAACTCTGAAGCCAGACCCCTGTGTCCAAAGTCTGGCTCTGACACTCACTCACTGTGTGAATGCAAGCTATGTTCTTAAACTCTCCAAACCTCTGTTTGCTTATCAGTAAAACAGGAGTAATAATGCTGTCTACCCCATGAGTTGAACAGTTGGCATTCATTATAAATTCCATATATGTTTTTGCACTTACTATGGTACAATGAGAGATATGATGTATAGAGGAGATAAGATGTACAGCAAGTAGAAAGAAACGACCATTAATTCATTCACTTGAGTGAATTGTATCAATTGTGTGCCTACCATGTGCCAGGCTCTGTTCTGGTTATTGAGGACACAAAGTAATCAAAACAGGCGAAATCTCCGCTCTGATATAGCTTGCATTCAGATATGGAAAACAAATAATAAATAAACACAAACATGTTAGTAGGACGGTCACACACAATAAAGGAAAATGAAGCAGAATGACCGAAGACGCTATGTTAGGCAATGGTCAGGAAAGTCCTGTTTGTGGTAGTGGCAGTTGAATACAGACTTGAACGATAGGAGGAAATAACCATAAAAATATCTACGAAAAGAGATTCCAAGCAAAGAGAACAGCAAGTGAAAAACCCCTGAGTTGGAAGGTGCATTATTGTCCAAAAAACAAAGAAGAGGACTATGTGGCCGAAATGGATTACAGACAGGAGTAGCAGGAGATGAAGTGAGGGGTAAGGCCAGAGGGTGGATCACATGGTACCTTGTAAGACATGGTAAAAACGTTGGGTTTGTTTCTATATGTGATGGAAGTCAAGAGGAGTAACACAAGGAATACCTTTCAATGTTTGTATTTTGAAAGGCTAATGAGAAGTCAACTTACTGTAGGTTGAAGAGCTAAAGGGAAGAAAGTAGTTACAAGCTTATAGCTATAGTCTGTTATCTTTAATAGATAGTGGTGTGTAGGATATGGGCAGCGCAGTGAAAATGGAAAGCAGTGGTCAGATCTGGGACAAGTTTTGAAAGCAAGAACTAAAGATTAAATATGGAGTGTGAGAAAATCAAAATGAAACTGAAGTTGAATTAGAGTAAATGAATCAATAGTGGTACCATGTATTAAATGGGGAAAATAGGAGGATTGAGTTTGGAGTTGGGGAGAGGAATTATGGAAGAGCAAGGTTTTCATTTTGAACATAGATGGCTTGCTTATTAGATAGCCATTTGGAGATGTTGAGTGAGCATTTGTATAGAAGTTGATGTGGATTCTGGGAAGAGATTAAGCTGGTGATGACTTTTGGGATTCATGCACATTTACGTGGCATTAAGGCCATTGGTACTAGATCATCTGAGAAGCTAGTGTAGATTGACGAGAGAAGCTTGAAGACCAAGCCCTAGTGCACACTCTGACTCTTGGGATTGGGAGGAAGAGGGGGAACAAGTGAAGGATACTGAGAAGGAGCAGCCAGTGGGATAGGTAGGAAAGCAGGAGCATTTAGTATACTACTAAACTCAACCTAAAACATATTTCAGAACAAAGAGTGAGAAGCTGTGTCCAATTTTCCTAAGCATCTGAGAATTGATCATTTGATCAATGTGGAAATTATTGATGACCTTTGCAACCATGTTTCAATGGAGAGGGACTGGAAAAAAGACCTTAAAATGAATAAGGAAGATTGAAAGAGGACAAAAGAAAGTATAGACAACTTTAAAGGAGCTTTTTAAGCAAGGAGAGTGGAGCTTCAGGTGGAGGGGAAAGTGGTATCAAGGGAGGGTGCTATGTAAAACAGGAGTTGTGAGACAATATTTGTATGCTTATTGGAGTTATCATTTGGAGGAGAAACTGATGCTACAGAAAAGGGAGGGAGGGGGACAGAAGAGTTCCTAAGTGGGTAAGAAAGGGATATCCACAAGAGAAAGAACCAGCCTTAGGTAAAAGTACAAATAGATTGACTCAATTTGATGGAAAGATAAGGATAGGATTTCTGAATGCTTCTCTTTTCTTACTGAAATAAGAACCAAGGAAATAGGTATCGGGAGTCTGAAAAGTGAGAACAGATATAAGACATTATCTTACAAAGTGAGACAATGAATGACTACAGAAACGCAGTGGCATTTCCAAATACCCAGTAAGTGGCCATAAATACCCAGTAAGCAGAGTATGGTTTTTTTTTTTCTAGAGTCAGCTATTAGGGTATGTGGTAAGAGTTGGCAGAGAAGCTGATTTAACCAGGGTTGTGTTTTTTCAGGTGACATAATCAGGAAGGAGGACCAAAGGAGATGAGGGTGTTTGCAAAGGACTAAAAATAATAAATGATGATGGATTAGAAACCGAGTTTGGATGAAAATGAGGACATGAGGTGATGAGGAACACTGGAAACGTGGCAGAGTTAATGGATTGGAGGTCACAGTGAAATTGAAGAATTGTTGGCAACGGGGAAATCAAATAAGTGAGCAAGAAAGTAATAAGGTGCTGGAAAAACAGATGATAGAAACTGACATTTTGTAGGGGGTGTGATTATTGCTTTAGTGTGTGACATGGAATTGATATGTTGCAGTGGGAGAGAACCAATATCATTGCAGGTAACATAAGGGAACTAACAGTCTAGGGCACTGGATGGATTGTCTGCATGGGTATTGTAATTACCAAGATTGATCATAGAGGTAATTGAAAGGAAGGGGTCCCCAGATACTAATATCTTCAATAAATATGGGAGTATGACAGAAAACTTCAACAAGAAGGGGATAGTGAATGAGTATCTCTCAATACTTGCTTCAAGGGTGCTAGATTATTTAAGTTTAAAAATTGTACTTACTACATAATTTAAAAAACCTATGAAGGTGACCATTAGAATAAGTTCAATAATATTGACATAAATTTCAACTCTTTATATATATATATTTACAATTTCTTCAATATGCAGCGGGTTGTTTGCCAGAACATTTCATTGAACAGAGTGAAAATTCTGACTTCTAATTATAAATAATACGGTTTTAGTCATTCTTCATGAAGTCCATTTACCCAGAAAGATCAGAGAAAACATTAATCACTTTTTGATAACTGATATAGAAAAGATACAAAAAGAAATCACTTCATTTCCTCGGTGTGGCACCCATCTTGACTCACCAGGATTGTTGGACTGGGCATCCATAGGGATCATGAGTTTTGCGCGGGTGGCTCGGCGAGCAGCCAGTGACCTCTCCAGAGTGGACATGGAGCTCCCTGCTTCTTCAGTGTCCTGACCTAAAAGAAAAACAATACTCCTGAGAGACACACTTTCTTCAATGAGTCAACTCTTTATATCATTTCTAGCCAGACACACCATGCCTTTTTCATTTTAATGTATTAAGTCATAACATCTAATGTCTTGTGACCCAAGCAATATACCCTCACTAATAAAATTCACCTTAACCTCATTACCCAGAAAATAACATAGCCAGGACGAAGAGGTAAGTAGGAGGAATAGGTAAATGTGTGTCTGAAATAGATGGTCCCACTCTAATCACTCAATCTCACTCCATGATGCTAGAGGATTAAAGAACAAATTACGACCTCAGCCTTCAGAGCCAAAAGCCTAGCTGGCCACAAGGAGGAATCTTCAACTGTCACACGGTAGTGCTTAAGGGAACTAAAATGCATTTAGTAACTGAATGTGACAGCAAAGTTAGAGACTCCGCGTGAGATATTAGTTAAGGTCTAGAAAAGGAATACTCAAAAACTTATCATTGAAAATCAGTAACTGAAGTCCTTGTCAGACAGTCCAAAGCTAAGAAAGTCTAGTTAGTAGGTTACACATTTAAAACAACTAAAATATTTTTTATTTGGTTTAAAAAGCACAGCTACTCATTCTACAAACATATCATGAGTAGACGAAGAGATTTTCTGATGAGAGCACTTGTTAATTATTCAACTCCCCATGCGCATTTCAAACACATGAGGACCCACAGAAAGTGAAATGCCTTACCACCAACTCTCTAGATTTCTTAGTTATACCTGGACACGATTGTTCTGTATCATTTTATTAAACATTGGGTGTTTTCTTAAGATCACTCTGTACACCTACGGAGCCTTCAAATAGACTTCATCGAACTAGGCTAGTGATCATATCACATGATTACATGGGGATGAGAGTTGATCTTCATGGCAATCAAGGCAAAGAGACAGAATTGTCAATGTTTTCACATTTCAAGTATCCTTGATGTGATTTTTTAAAGCAAGGAATTGACAGCAAATTTATAATCAACTTCCAATTACCCACAGACACAGGGAACTGAGAAGTGTACAGTAGCTTCAGCTTTTATTGTCTTGACAAACGTTTTGTTCAAGATTTAACAAAAAGCCATCAATTCATTGAAGCTTCACATTTCAATGTTTCCCAATGGTATCACCTCCTACCTCTTAGAAGTTTAAAATAGCATGGCAATCATAAAAGGCAGGCAACAGGATGATGGGATAGAAAGTAAACCAGGTTAATCAACCACATGTATATCAGACTGTTTGAACTATTGGTAAATAACTGCGAATTAGTGGGAAGGTTACCTCCACAAAAGAGGGAGTGGAGGACACCCTGTGGGGTTCTTTTTCTGACGGCAGAGGAGAGAATTACCTGAATGAGAGGTGCTTTTGCTCCCCATTTGGGTTTCTGACTGGCTGTGACTGACTGGTGTGAGCTCTTGGCAACTTTGGATGGGGGTGTCCCTCCCGCTAGGGTCGGTGCCTGATGGCTTCTCGATGTTCTTCATCTCCATCTCCTCATGATGGATCCAAAGATCAGGGGGCCGCAGGTCCTTCTGGCTGCCCTTCCTTTTGCCAACACTGTGGGTGGCCCGTTTCCTATGGAACAGAATTAGAAGGCCAATGTGAGTGCCTCGCCTCAATGGCCCCCTCTCTCCTCTCTGTCAATTCAAGTTAGAAGCCGGGGAAGGAAACAGAAGCACTCCCAGGAGGAAACCTGTGAAAGCCAGGAATTGGCAGGCTTGTGTTGGCCGCCTTTGCCCTTCCCCAGAAGGGTCACCACGTGGCAGGAGATGTGGTGCTGAATCCTCAGGGTCTCGGGGGGCCTGCCAGGGAGCACCTCCCTTCAGCTTCCCCAGCTGCAAATCCGAGCCCAGCTGACAATGGGTTCGATGGAGCCATATGCCAGTCTTTGGAGCGAGGCATAAGGTAACTGACTGCAGCATCTGCTTAGGAGATAAAGGAAGGAACTGCTTTGAAAAGGCAAATAGAAATAAAAAGGCCCGAGTCTGTGCCAACAGCCAAGGTAGAAGCTTAGAAGGAGGTCTACACCTCCGCTGTATAATTTAACGTGCGATTCGGAAGCTTGCTCCTTGTGGACAAAAGATCACATGGGGACGTTCTTAAGAGAAGAAAACGCTTTCCCCTGAGAGCCACTGAGTGTCTGGATTCAAACTCAGTAAGACCCACCCTTCTGAGAAGAGAAGAATACCCATGGGAGTGTGATTCAAATGCCTCTTATTTGACTCAATAAGAATTTTGGCCCAGCCGGCATGACTCAGTGGTTGAGCATCATCCTATGAACTGGGAGGTCATGGTTTGATTCCCAGTCAGGGCACATGCCCAGGTTGAAGGCTCAATCCCCAGTGTAGGTCTTGCAGGAGGCAGCCAATCAATGATACCCTCTCATCACTGACGTCTCTATCTCTCTCTCCCACTTCCTTCCTCTCTGAAATCATTAAGAAAAAAATTTTTTTTAAAAAAAGAATGTCCTCCTTTTTTAAAAAAAATATATTTTATTGATTTTTTACAGAGAGGAAGGGAGAGAGATAGAGAGTCAGAAACATCGACA